GTTGATTGCCTATGGGCGAGTTAACCCGCTAAAATCTTGCTTCATGCTAGATTGTCGTGTGATAGGCATGGTGAAATGCTACATGCTAAGAGCTAGGCACAACAGATTAAACAGTATAGTGAGGCTTAACACATATCAGGTAGTTCTGCGCAGATTACACAGTACAGTTGAAATGACAGAGTGTGCTATGTGTTTGCATGTTGTACTGATGTGTTATATATTAGTGCCTTCAGTGAGTCAATGGGAGAAAGGCAAAATGGCAAGCATGTTGTGCACTGTACGTAAGAGGGAAAAGTGAAACATGAGGCAGAGGATTATACTATACCAGGCTGTAGTATGTCATTAAACAGGCTTTGTTCTAGACAACATTGCTGCATGTTATGGCATAGTAAAACATACATATACGTTTACTCCAGGCTTTACTTCAGAGACACTATGCTTGGTTACACATAGACTGACTGCTTAGCTTTAACGGGTGAGAGGCCTGCGCTGTCATACTCAGTGACTACCTAGCTAGATAATAACAAATAACGGGAGTACACAGATATATAATGAGTCCCGCAGAGCGCAAGCTTTAATGAGGCTGTATCTGTAGAGGTCACAGGTTGCAGTCTCTGGGTTCCCAGTCTGGGGTTTCATCTCCCTCCGGTGCTTGGTAGGCTCCTCTCATGCCCAGGCGGTGCCGTGGCATCCCCTGCGCTGTCTTATTAGTGTGTGGCAGCAGTTGTGGTGTCTCAGGTCCAGGCTGTTGAGGTGGGCTGTTTCTGGCTGGGTGCAGGGTGAGGGGCTTGATCTTTCGGACCCTCAGGTCTGTCTTTGCGGGGCTGGCAGCGCTGGGGTCTGGTGGTCCCTGTGTATTTATATTGCAGGGCTTGTCCTGTGGGGTCCTGCTCTTTTTATGCCCCCTTTGTTTGTGCCAGTTAACTATAGCCTGTACCTTGGTTCATCCCAGTGTAGTCAGCCAACATATCCCTGGGACAGTCTGTGATGGTGGTCAGGTGGTGCTGGTTGGTCTCCCCTGCAATCAGCTTAATCATGCGGGTAGGTCGCGCACATGGCTGGCGTGCGGCGGCCATCTTGAGGAGCGCTGCCCGATGATCCTTGGCAGGATGGTTGTTTTTAGGCCCTGATTGGTGCACCAGTAGTTGCCCGTGTAGACCGGGATGACCCCCCCGGTCCAGAGGGGGGAGTGGGAGCCAGCCGCCGGCCGGAGACCCGGAAGAGCGGCCGTCTCGTCCCGGCTCAAGCTCCCATGTGTTCCGGGACTTTGTCGCGTCGTTGCTGGTGCCAGGCAGGGTGTTGGCGGGTGTCCTTGTGTTCCCCAGCAGCTGGGGGTCGACTTGGTCGCCGGTGTGTGTTGCTGGGTAAGTGTAGTCTCCAGTTAACGCCGATTTACCGGGCCCGAAGCGGGAGCTCAGACAGAGCACGTCTGATCCCGCCAGCGGTCAGGCCCCGCCCCCCGTTTTTTAAGGTTTTTAAAAGATAATTACTCCCGTTGTTAACTGATACCTTTAATGAAATGGCAATCAAAGGGACTGCCTCTCAAGATTTATTAAGGGCACATATTACTCCGATTCTGAAACAGGGTAAAAGTCCTTATGATGTGAGTAACTATCATCCTATTTCTTTGGTCCTATTAAACTTTATGCCGCAATTTTAGCGGAACGTTTTAAAATAGTCCTGCCATTACTTATACATAGGGACCAGATAGGCTTTATGCAGGGAAGGCACTCCTCTAATAATACGCGCAGGGTTCTGGACATTCTAGATTGGGTGTGGTTGGAGGGAACCCCCCTTCTGACCCTGTCGGTGAATGCAGAAAAAGCCTTTGACAGGGTCGGATGGGGTTTCTGAGGAGTTTGGCTTTGAAGGGTGGTTTATGAGTGAGGTAGGAGCCATATATTACTACAGTTTGGCTTTGAAGGGTGGTTTATGAGTGCGGTAGGAGCCATATATTCGAATCCCTTTGCCCTTATAGTAGCCCGTGATTTATGCTCAGAATGGTTCTGTATTAATAATGGGACGAGACAGGGGTGTCCTCTCTCGCCCCTATTATATGTTTTATCAATGGAACCTCTGGCAAACAATATCAGACAAAATGTTTGGATCAAAGGATTAGGAACTCACGTTGACGAATGGAAGATATGTTTATATGCAGACGATATCTTAATTTCTATTACTGATCCACTTGTCTCTCTTCCTCATTTAATGCAAGAATTCAACAACTATAGTAGTATCTCAAATTATAGTCTGAATACGAATAAAACAATAGCTATGCCCATTAATATACAAAAAGATATTCTGATTTCTTTAAAGAAAGACTTTGATTTTAAATGGATGAAAAAGAGTTTATATATTTAGGGGTGATTATATCTGCAGATATAAGATGGACTATGGAAATTAATTTTCTGAAATTGTTAAAAGAGACTAATATATTATTAAAAGAATGGAGAGTGCATGGAATCTCCTGGTAGGGAAGGATTAATACCATTAAAGCCTATATAATTCCTTAATGGGCTTACCTATTTGGCATGCTCCCTCTCTCGATTTCATGCCATTGGTTGAATATGCTGCAAAATAGCATTACAGCTTATATTTGGAGAAGGAAGAGACCAAGAATTAATACATATACTTTATCAAGTAAGGCCCAGCAGGGGGGGTTGGGCTATCCCCTAGTTAATCAAATTTATCAGGCCAATATGCTGGTCCATGCTAGTAATCTACAATTAAGTGATTCTAAAGACCAAGTTTGTTATAAAATTGAGGCAGCTAGAGTTGGTCTAGATAATCTTGAACTTCTCTTATGGAGAGAGGCAAGACAGAATAAGCAATTGTGTGAGATTACATCTCAATTTCCTCTGTCTCTATCACAGACATTAAAAGAATGGACTAATATAAAGAAAAGCTGAATATTAATAAAAACTTTATGAGAACCTTAGTCTAAGGTCATTAGAATATTATATGTTAGAGATAAATCTGACAAACTGGTTGAAAGATTCAAATTATAAGATAAAAGATCTTTATAATGAACATCAATTGAAAAGCTTTGAAGATCTTAAAACTTGGTTAGATTTACCTTCTAGAGAAATATTTAACTTCCTTCGTATTAAGAGCTATCTAAAAGATAACATATTAATGTTAGATGGCCGTTTTGGTAAATTGTTTAGGAAATTTTTTTCCGGGTGTATGGTTAAAAAGATATTCTCCATTGCAGTAGAACTAATAAAAACTAAGGGGGACTCCAGTTATCCCAAAGCTTTAACCAAATGTGAAATTGACCTAGCAATACCTATTCCATTTAATAATTGGTGTAAATCTTTTATGAGGACTAAAAAAGCCATTCCCTGTCTGAATATTCTAGAGACCTTTACCAAAATATTATATATACTTGGTACCGACTAGACTTGCTAAAATATCTATTACATATCCATCAAATTGTTGGCAGTGTCTCCACCCAGATGGTTCTATGTTTCATATATGGTGTGCCTGTCCTAGATTTAAGTCTCTTTGGAATATTACATTTGAATTTATACATAGGATTGGAGGTGTACACCTGGAACATACAGCGGAAATTGCCCTACTACATCTTATGGGCTTTGAAATAAAAGACAATTTTGATCTTGCGATTATACAGTGCTTAATGGCAACCAAAATATTAATTGCTAGATCCTGGAAAAGCACTGACATTCCTACTAGAGATCAAGTTAAAGCCCAACTATTATATCAAGTTGGGATGGAAAAAGGGCTGATTCATATGAAAGAATGCTTCAATCTTAATATTTTGATGTTTTATTCCAGTCTTGTTGAGAGAATTAAAGGGCTTTAGTGAGTTGAGGTATTCGGATTACCTTATTGTGACCATCTCAGGCCTAACCGAAATACTGTAGTGGGCTCTATCCTACGGGTTCCTTGGCCACATATCTGATATTAGCTATATTTATATTGGAATTTTTGACCTTCTATACCTCTGCAATATATCTGGCCAGTTTGTTCGTAATGTTTGTCCTATTTATGTGGGTTTCTAGGCCGCTCTCGGGCTCTCATATTCCTTCTTCGGGATACTATTATTATTGCACCTTTTTGTATTAGAAGGTTTATCTTTGCTGTAAATTGAAGTATATTGTTATACCTGTATGTGTTTATTCGGGAAAGGATACCTTTTTTCGTATGGCTCCTTCCCCTGATGTTGTTTTGATTATCAATATTGCTATAAAAATTCAATAAAAAAGATTGAAATAAAAAAAAAAAACGAAATAGAAGAAACGTGCTATTGGGCTACAAAGAAACCACAACAGGGTAACAAGGAATGGGAGAGGTAAGTATATATAGGTATAAACTATCTGTGATTGGATGGAACTCGTTTGGAGTTTACCACTGTTTGAGGGGGGTACCTGGCCCTCCTACACTGATCCCTGATGTCATTGGTATGCACATGAGTAATTCGGCCGCATACATAAACAATCCACACGCAAGTGTGCATCGTCCGTCGGAATGCCGGGGGAGATCGCGGCATTCGGAGCTGAGCCATCAGGTAAGCAGGCTGAAAGCCTGACAGCGGGAAGGTATAGAACGCCATAACGTCGTTAAGAGATTAAGACACCACAATGATTTATGTGGATTTGGTGTTTTTTTTTTATTAGTACCCCAGTTATAAGATAAGGTCACTACTAATGAAAGTATTTAGAAAATTGGGCAGACTAGATGGGCCAAATGGGAATATTTAAAAATTGCACTTCTGAAGGCAACAAAAAATTGCATTAGGTTTGTCAGTAAAAGCAAACAATTTAAGAAACCACTGTGGTACTCCACAGATGTGGCCAAAATAGTAAAAAACTAAAAGTTAGCATTTAGTAATTATAAAAAAAAAAAAACCCTGAATGAGGAAGATAAACAGATCTATAAGATTTGAAAGAGAAAATCTTAGGCACTCACTGTGATATGTTCAAGGCAGTTTTATTAGATTCGCAATGTTTCGACCTGTACCCAGGTCTTTTTCAAGCTTGAGAAAGTCTCAGACACTCACTGTGATATGTTCAAGGCAGTTGCATTGAACATATCACAGTGAGTGTCTGAGACTTTCTCTTTTATATTGATGATATGGGGTATGCTGACCCATGCTCATTGTGTCCTGTGTTGATTTTTGTGATTGAGTGCAACCCTCCTTTTTATTCTTAAGATCTATAAGATTAGGCAGAAAGAGGCTAGCAAGTTATAAGAGCTTTGAAATCACACACAGAAGAGAAAATAGCACAGTCAGTTAAAAAAGGGGACAAAACATTTTTTTAGATACATAAATGAGAAAAGGAAAGTAAAACAAGGATTAGTTAGATTAAAACCAAAAGAAGGAAGGTATGTAGAAGAGGATAAAGATCTAGCTGACTGCCTCAATAAATATTTTTGTTCAGTATTTACAGATGAAAATGAAGAAAAGGGGCCTCCGTTAGGAAAAAGGAAAAATTAGTAATTTGTTACATTTGAGTTTATAGAGCAAGAGGTTTTATTTCAACTGTCAAAAGTAATGACAAATAAGTCAATGGGACCTGATGGAATACACTCAAATTTATTAAAAGAGCTTAGTGGTGTACTAGCAAAACCATTAACAGATTTATTTAACCAATCATTGTTAACAGGAGTATTCCCAGAAGATTAGAAGTTAGCGAATGTTGTGCCCAATTTACAAGAAAGGTAGTAGGGAGCAGCGGGGCAACTATAGGTCAGTAAGCCTTACTTCAGTAGTGGGGAAAGTAATGGAAACCATGTTAAAGGATAGAATTTTTTAACATCTAAAATCACATGGATTTCAAGATCACAGACAACATGAATTTACTTAAGGGAAATCCTGCCAAACTAATCTTATTGATTTTTTTGATTGGGTAACTAAAATAATAAATCAGGGTGGTGCAGTAGTCATTGTTTACCTAGATTTCAGTAAGGCTTTTGACACTGTTGCACATAGAAGGCTTATCAATAAACTGCAATCTTTAAGTATGGATTCCATTATTGTTAAATGGGTAAGGCAGTGGCTGAGTGACAGGCAACAGAGGGTTCTAGTCAATGGAGTATATTCGAAGCAGGGGCATGTCACCAGTGGGGTACCTGAGGGATCTGTACTTGGACCCATTCTCTTTAATATTTTTATTAGTTATATTGCAGAAGGTCTTGATGGTAAGGTAAGTGTTTTTGCTGATGATACTAAGATATGTAACTGGGTTGATGTTCCAGGAGGGATAAGCCAAATGGCAAATGATTTAGGTTAACTAGAAAAATGGTCAGAGTTGTGGCAACTGATATTTCATTAAAATTAAAAATTGAGAGTTCAAAAGATAACGTTCAGGAGAGTCTTTTGAATATTAGACATAAAGCCAACGATAATTCTATGGATGGGACGCCACTCTACGAGGTAGGAGTGTTCTTAAAATCCGTACGTGGAGATAAAAGAAACAACTAATGTTGCACTATATTCAGCAAGCAGATAGCAACTGGTAGGCGGACTGCTCAATGTATAGAGTTTGAGTGGTATGATCCCCACCTAGGATTCTTTGGAGTAATGTCTCACTGGAGCAGGATAAAACTCAGAAGCCAGGTAAAGAAGTATTAAAAAGTAAAATGGCAACTCACAGAAAGGAAGTGATCAAAATACATTTAATAAAATACAATACAGTTTTAAAATGTCTACAAAGTGTTTCACCAGCAGGCTTTTTCACGTGGAGGAGTAGAAAACAGAACTTGACAAGCATGGTTTTATAAAGGGAATGAAACATCTTGTGTAATTTAAAAATTGGTGCCAAAATGACGTTATAATTGCTTAATTAATATATTTAAAACAAACTTAGAATTTCTTATACAAATATATTTTAAAATACAGGAGTGTGTGCATATATTAAGTAAATAGATATTTGGGGTGGTGCTTAACTACTGAAGTGGATGGTCGCATGGCTGCTGAGCTCCAGGCCACTACAACCCAAAATACCCACTTACAACCCCAAGATACGGGCCAACCCGACCCTGAGAAGACCCCAACACTTACCAGAACCCAATGGGGCGAAAAACTAAAACACTTAAGCCTGAAAAACCCAGGTTGGGCATGCATATCGGCGCCCTCTGGCGGCAGGCCAAAGATGTCTCTGGCTCTAAGATGGTATCCCTCCATGGGGGATGATCAGATTTCTACGATGAGATGGATGATGCAGAGGGGGACATCTCCCCGGTCAAAGCCGCCGCAGGCTCGGATGCAGCCCCCGCCACCTGTTGCAACCCCCAAACCGATGTGCATGGAGGCCCTAAGGGAATAGTGATGTCCCGAACGGTTCGCTGGCGAATAGTTCCTGGCGAACATGGTGTGTTTGCGTTCACCACCAATGGCGAACATATGCAATGTTCGCTCCGCCCCCTATTAATTTACTAATACTAAGTAAAAATGACTTAGTATTAGTAAATTGTGCCCCTACTCGCAATACGAGTAGGGGCATGTCTATTAAACAGTGAGCAGCCTGTATTTAGGGCCCCCACCGGGGGGGACCATTTTTTTTAAACAGTGAGCAGTGGGTGGGGGCCCTAAAATGAAAAATAAGGGGGGGACCTATTGTCCCCTCCGCCCCCACCCCTGCGCGGCGCGTGGGGGCCATATTGATAATGAGGGGGGGACCTAAGCAAATCCCCCCCCAAGGTGAGTAGGGGTCCCCAAGCCCCTAGTCACCACCCCCCAAATAAAAAGTCCCTACCTACCCCCCTCACCCTAAAAAATAGTGAGGGGGGAATAAAATAACTAACCTGTAAAATAAAAGTAAACTTACCATTCGACGTCTTCTTTTTTCTCATATCTTCTTTTTTCAGCCCCAAAAAAGGCCAAATAAAAAACCATCATAACCGTCGAATTGAAAAGAAAATAAAAATCCCGAGCGCAAAAAAAAACCAGACGAAAAAGTAAAAACCGAGCTCAAAAAAAGAATCCATCTTCACCCATGGAGGGCTCCGTGCAGACTGAGCTCTGCAGGGCGGGGGAAGGCTTATGAAGCCTTGCCACGCCCTGCAATTAGGCTAAGAACACTCTGAATGGTGGGTTTAAGCCAATCAGAGTGCTCTTTGTCATTTTACACAGCGTGGGAAAATTCAAAAGAACTTTCCCACGCTGTGTAAAATGACACAGAGCACTGTGATTGGATGGCTTTCAAGTTCAATTTTCCCTCGCAGAACTACTCACCCCAAAGCCGGCCAAAGCGGTAGCTCTGTTTGGAATATTCCAAGTACCAAAGCCTACTACGGCCCCATCCACATCCACAAGGGTATAATCCTACAGTTCCAGACCCAGAAGGATAGATCCACAGTCCTGGCGGCCGCCAGGGAACACCTGACATACCTCTTTGGAGAAATGACACTCACGTTCTACTCGGACCTCTCGGGTGCAATGATGGCTTGTAGCAGAATCTTGAAACAGTTTACCTCCCTACTTCGAGAGAAACACATAAGGTACCACTGGGGCCCAGCTCATACCCTACAGGTCACCAAGGGGGACACCACGCACAACATACGCAACATGCAAGAGGCTACGAAGATACTTCCAGCAAAGCCCACGAACTCCCAAACTGGGACACTGCCGGTGCTCCGGAATTTGTCCCCCGATGACCAACCAGGCCAACTTATGCCGTAGCCACAACCTGAACGTAGATCGGGACTAAAAGTACAAATTACTAGGACATTGTCACACTATTCAGTAGCTGTTATTGTTTATTGATATCTGGAAATGCTGACACCCCACTTTAATGTCTAATACACATGATTAACTACTGACAGGTAGGCCTCCCTGCGCCCGCGTAGAGCTTCCTGACCATCTGGAGAAGGGTAACTCCCCTCCCCTATCCCCGGTGCACCATCCTTAGCCATAAGACCACCTTTGGTTTGCAATGGGAAAGCTGACCCATGCACCTCTCCCCTTAGGGACCACATCCACCATAGTCCGACCGACTCACCCCCATAGCACAGCAATTTAACGACCTCTACCCTAAGTACTCCCTCGGAGAAAACCATACCCTACTCGTCTTCAGCTCAGGCACCCATGTGTCATAACATCGGCGACAGAGCGCACCACCTGACCTTTAGACCGACATGGAAATCACTCCAATAATTTTTGACTCCCCTACCTACACTATCAAAGGTGCGATATCTTCTGGCCACATTGTTTATTATGGTTCACCTTGCCTATTATGTTGAAAAGTACATCACAGAACCAAGCACTGTTGAAAATGCTCACTATCCACATTTGCCTTATATGTATTATGGTAGAAGTCATGCACGGGCCTCCACCTATTCACTACTCATAACCCTCGTCAAGCGATCGAGTGAAGTAACATGCACAGGTCCTCACACTAGCCATCTGATGTTTTCTTAGTTACCTGTTATATTTGAATGCTTTTTATTTTCAATGCCTATGTCCAACCTTGCCTCTAGAATGGCTACACATAATCGGACATCTCTTCTAGACACACCTGACTAGCACATCTCACCCAACAAAAATAAAATTTGTACACGTCATATAAATGCCATGCCAATGTTATAATGTATTTGACAATGCAATGTTTGCTCTGCTCTTGTGGCGGTGCAAGCTGATTGTGTATATTCACTGCGTAACAAAAATTAAAAATAGATATTTATGTAAAACCAGGGTTAGAACGTATATTTTTATGATGGAGGTGAGGTCATGTGGTCGACGGCCATTTTCGCTAAGAATCTTGGGGTTTGTAGTATAGCCGCCAGTATTGTCCTAGTGACGGAAAAAATGGGCATATTGATTATGTAGTTGGAGAGTGCATCCTAATGGCGCGACCCTTCTCTCTGTGTATCTGTGTGACGTGGGAGGGCGCGCCTTAGTGATGCAGACCTCCTGAGGGAGATGCCAGTATGGGCATGAATGCGCTTTTTTGATGAGTGTGGCTGGGAGTGTGTATGAAGGAGGGAGGTGCTACGATAGGGTAGGGGGTTGGGGTAAAAGGAGACTGTCTATATGAAAGAGTTTTAAACAGAGCAAAATAGTAAAAGGCATATACATATTAGAAGAGTATGGTGAATAGCTTCTAAATAGCTATATATATA